AATCAAAAAGGTAACATTCAATTGTTATTCTAATGTGGTTGGTGTGCATTCTGGGAAGTGTTATGTGATCTAGCATTTGCTCTAAGGATACGGGGAAAACCCAGAAAAACCCGATCAGATCACTTTAAAATTAAATTAACATAAAATTAAATTACTTTAACAATTCATTGGTTCTTTTGGTTCAAATAAAATAAAAAATAAAAAAAAAAAATTAAATATGAATTAATGTAATAAATTCGTCAATAAAGCTTCATGTTCATGTTTTCATTAAATTGGAATCATTCTTCTTGTAGTAGTCCTAATTTGTTCCGCAGTTCCGCAAATCTTCCAGCAGGTAGTGGCTTCGTGAATATGTCAGCAAGTTGGTTGTCTGTATTAATATACTCAAGAGAAATCTCATTAGTTTCTATCTGTTCTCTTGAAAAATGATATTTTATATCAATATGCTTTGCTCTTTTATGACATGAGGGATTATTTGCAATGCTAATACAGCCTTGGTTGTCTTCATAAATTTTAATGGGTCTGTCGAGTTTAAGATTAATACTATTTAGAAGAGACTTTAGCCATAAAGCTTCTCTTACAGCTTCAAATAGGGCCATATATTCAGCTTCAGTTGATGGAGCTGCCACTGAATTCTGTCTTTTTGTATTCCAACAAATTAAATTGGAATCGAACATTTTAAACAAATAACCCGTTGTACTTTTTCTATCAATCTCATTACTACCCCAATCGGAGTCTACATAGCCAACTAATGTATTTTCAAATGATGTATTCTTTTTAAATATAAGCTTCATATCAATAGTTCCCTTTAAATATCTAATAACCCTTTTTAAACATTGCCATAACTCAGCATTGTTCTTGCTACTATATCTACTCAAGATATTTACAGCGGTAGCTAAATCTGGTCGTGTACACAGCATTATGTACATTAAACAGCCAATAAGGTTACGACATGGAGCATTGCAGTCTTCACCTGAGTTAAGTAACTCATAATTTAGTTTATTTAGTAATGGAGTACTGACTGAATTGCAACTATCCATGTTAAATTTATTTAAAATTCTTTTTACATATTCAGCTTGACTCAAATATATTTTGTCTTCAAACATTTCTACTCTGATACCGATAAAATGTTTTATCTCATTTAAGTCAGTCATTCTAAATCTTTCGCTTAAATAATTTTTGAAATTATTCATTCTATCCATAACCCTTGTCGCTATTACTACATCATCAACATATAATAATACATATATGTTTTTCTTTATGTCACCTCTATCAAGAATATATATGCAACGATCCACGGGAGAGTTTACAAAATCGAATCCTTTCAATGCTTGCTCAAATACTTGAAACCAGCATCTAGCTGCTTGTTTGAGCCCATAAATGGCTTTGTTCAGTTTGCATACATGCCCAGCACCGCATAATACGCCCTGAGGAGGCCGCATATATATCTCCTCACTTAATGTACCATTGAGGAAAGCTGTTTTAACATCCATCTGACGGACTTTCAAATTAAATTGGACTGCCAATGATAGTACGAACCTAAAACTGGCAATTCTAGCAACGGGAGCAAATGTTTCTTCATAGTCTACTTGGTACTTTTGAGTAAATCCTCTTGCAACCAGTCTAGCTTTGTATTTTATTGGGACTCCTAGTTCATTATATTTAATGGAAAATACCCATCTACTGTCTACAATATTTTTGTTTTCTGGCTTCTTTATAATTGTCCAGGTGTTATTAATTTCATGGGCATTTAACTCTGTATTTATTGCCTCCTCCCAATCAGATTTATCATTCCTAAAATTTATTTCATCAAAGGAATTTGGAACTTTATCAAACATTATATGGCATTTAATATAAATTTGTTAAAGCTTTTATCATGTTCTTTATAAGAAACCTTCGGCTTAGACTTTAACCTCTCACTTTTTCTACTAATTATATTAGTATCCTTATTTTCTTCACGACAATTATCTGGCTGATCAGCTTTTTCACAATCCTTACTCTCATTCGGGATATATAATTCCTTACTATCATTCAGGAAATCAGTTTTTCTTTTCCTACTTTCATTCGGAAAATTCTGCTTTTCGCATTCCTTACTCTCATTCAGGATTTCACATTCCGTACTTTCATTCGGGAAATTAAACTGATCACATTCCTTACTCTCATTCAGGATTCCACATTCCGTACTATCATTCGGGAGATAAAACTGATCACATTCCTTACTCTCATTCAGGATTCCACATTCCGTACTATCATTCGGGAGATAAAACTGATCACATTCCTTACTCTCATTCAGGATTCCACATTCCGTACTATCATTCGGGAAATTAAGCTGATCAGATTCCTTACTCTCATTCAGGAATTCTTGTTGACTTCTTTCCTTACTCTCTTTCGGGAAATCTGTTTCAAATTTTACTTCTCTAGAATAAAGCATATTAGTCTCGTCTACGACAACATCTCTTGCAACAATAACTTTTCCTTTAATGACATCCCACAATTTGAGTCCATTTTGTTCATACCCTATCAAGATAGCTTTGAATGATTTTTCATCAAATTTACCTTTTTTAATTTTGTTGTGCACATACACGGTTGAACCGAACACTCTTAAAAATTTTAAATTGGGCTTTCTATTGTGCCACAGCTCATATGGGGTCATTTTACAATCACCAAGTGCTTTGCTTGGAATTCTGTTGATTAGATATGTTGCAGTTAGCACAGCTTCACCCCAAAAACTTTTGTCTAATTTTGCACCATTTACCATAGCACGAGCTGTTCTCTGTAATGGTTCTTATCATTCGCTCCGAAACACCATTCAACTGAGGTGTATGTGGCACTGTCAAATGATAACTTATTCCTTATTAACGCAGAACTCACGCATTTCATTCGACAAGTATTCTCTACCGTTGTCAATATACAAATTGACAATCTTGAAATTAAAATGAGCCTCGCTCTTTGCTACAAAATCTTTAAATACATTAAATACATCTGATTTATATTTTAACAAATAGGTTACACAATAATGTGTAAATTGATCTACGAAGATCACAAAATAATTTTTATCGTCTAGTGTAACTGGTTTAATGGGCCACATACATCTGAATGTATTACAAACAAAGGGTCGTTTATATAACTTTTATCTTTAGATTGCTTAAATGGCAACCTAGCCTGTTTCCCATTTAAACATGACTCACAAACTTCATCTGATATTTTTAAATTAACAAGAAGATTACTGTCATTAAATAAATTATTATTATTTATTTCAAGCAATTTTGCATTGCTTATATGCCCCAACCTCTCATGCCATAATCGATAATTATTTTTGTTCCTAGCATCTACACTGTATGCTTGGAATTTGACTACAGGTATATCCAACATACCTGTATGTTTAACAACACTTACTCCATTTTTTGATATGGAGACACCACCACAGTCAAACTTAATTGACATCCCTGCCTGTTGCAGACTCTTGACAGACATGAGGTTTCCTGCTGCCTCCTTGCAGTAGAGCACATCCTCCAGTGTGATATTGTGTCCATTGTGCAGCCGCACAATTCCACGCTTAGTGGCATATAAAAACTCGCCTTCTTTTGCCACAGCGATTTTAATTGGCTGCTCCAATTCGATGCAATCGGCGTACAGCGAGTCATCATTGATCAAATGATCCGTTGCAACCAGAATCGAGTATAAAACCGAGTTCATTATTTATCTGATCACTCTTTTTCATTTTCCGCATCATAAATGCGAACCCGTGGCCCGATGCTGCAAGCTGAGCTTTTTTATTATGTTTATAATTTTCTTTGTTTTGATTTAACCTTATAAACTGGTAACAGTCTTTTTTCATGTGCCCTTCTTTGCCACAGTGATGGCATTTAATATTACTTCTAGCTTTTCCCTTAAATAATATCTTTTGCCGTGTGTTTCTAGATCCAAACGTTTTACGATTTATTAAAATTGTTATTATTTCATACAACTGCTTTCATGACTTTACTACTTGTATCAGTACTTTCATTTCTTAATTTGGTCTCGTAGTCGAACAATTTATTTTTTACAAACGCTAATGATAGAGTTTCATCTGACAAGTTTCGATTGCCGTGATGACCACCATTATAGGTTGAAGGTAGAGTCTGCAGCAAATGTGCCACTTTGTCCATCTCATCCATTTTTGCGCCCGCCCCTAACAACTCACTCACTGTTTCATCAAAAGTAACAAAATGACTCGAAAGTGTCATTTCACTTGAGAGTTTGAGTGTTATTAAACGTTTACGTGCAGCTAATTGCGACGCAAGGCTTCTTCAGAATATCACGTGCCGAAATGTCGCCTGCCGCGAAGTTTAGAAATGCGTCGCCTAAATATTGAATTAAAATGCTCTTGCACATCGCTCTGCCTTTTTCCAATTATCATCTACTTCGTTAGGCATTATGTTATCGACTACTTGGAGCACCTCTAATTCAGCAAACAAAGCTCTGATTCTAAATTTCCATATAGAATATTTCTCGCCACAAAAAGGCTTAATATGTTGCTTATTTCTTTCCATTTTCTATGTATGTATATATTATACACACACACACTATAAAAAAAACTACACAAGAACGCACGCGGAACTAATTTCACAACTATTTGTTATTAATTTAATTTATTTAAATTGGCGTGGTCTGGGCCCATAACCTATTGGTAGACTAGCTATGACAATTAGTAAACGGAAGACAGTACCAAGTTATGTTTTTCTTTAAAGATTATTTATGTATTTCTTGATTACTTTTTGCTGCAACACCGGTCCACACTTGAGATCACAAAAGAAGAGAGAGGGTCGACACTTCAAGTGTGACCAGACTAACTATAATAATAATACCTAACATATCGATAATATTATTTAATGTTATTATTTGAATGTGGGAATAGGCGTATTCCAACACCTTTTTTAAGGGCTTAGGTCATGCCTGGTACTTGGCAGTGGATATGCAACTATACATAATCTCTCTGCTTCTGCTGATTGCTCTGTATAAATGGGGCAAAAAGGCGGCTGCTGGCATTGTAGTGCTGTTGCTTCTAGTCACGACCTGCCTCTTTGTCACGATGATGGTCAACAATGAATCAATGCTCACGAAGTAAGTCCACGATCTTTCTATTTGCATTTGAAGTTATTAAGCCTCATTTAATTCAGGAATGGAAGTAAAGGAGGTGATGGTTTGGATGTCTATGGATCCACACACACGCATGCGGGTCAATGGCTGACTGGATTTCTCTTCGGGTACTTCTTGCACCTGAATCGTGGAAGGAAGCTCCAGCTAAGCCGCATCCAAGTTTAGGGCTCCTCCTCTAACCATACTCGAGGAGTCTCTCTACTACACGCTTACCCGGGTGGGCTGGCCCCTAGCGCTGTGTTGGATCATCTTTGCCTGCATGCAGGGCTATGGCGGTCTGGCAGACAGTTTCCTATCCTCGCCATTGTGGCAGCCACTCTCGAGACTCTCCTATTCCGTGTACATCTGGAATATGTTCACTCTGGAAGTAAACAGCAGAATTCTACGGACCAATACATATTTTTCGAACTACAACTTTGTAAGTTTTGTTTTGGATAGTTGAAGGAAACTAGTGGATTATAACAAATGTATAATATTTTATGCTTTGCAGATGCTTAATTTCTGGTCTGTCATTGGGATCACTATTTTGATGTCGTATGTGTTTTATGTTATCATTGAGGCTCCTTTTGGCGGACTCGATAGTCTTCTACGAACCCGGCAGCCACGATCTCCAAGCGAACAAAAGCAGTCGTCAGTAGATGTCCAGCAGGATCAGTTTAATGTCGGAAGGAATCTGGATGAACCTGAAAAGCCTAAGGAAGAAGCCACAACGACTGTTTCAGAATAGTTAAATGTAAGATGCTAATGTCGTGTTTTGTCTTTCCCATATTTAGATCCAGTATGGTTTTCTTGTATTCAATGACTTTTCGCCGACCAGACATGTTTAAGTTTGCTATTAAGTTAAGACTTTGAAGCCACTTGAGATATTAGATCTAACAAATAACTATTCGACAAGCGCTTTACTCACAAATTCAACTAATAAACGAGGGGGAACGTTGTGAGTTGCTGCGGACACCGCAACTCTACATTTATTCCCGATACTTAGTCAGTATGGCTCTCCTCCGGCAGAGGCCGCTAATACTAAACGACACGACAAAGAGTGCGTGCGAGAGAGACAGAAAATCAGTCAGAGCGTGACGTCGGGCGCTGCGTAGCCACTGCAAATTGATTTCTTGCTTTTGGCTACAAAAATGATCCGATCTGATCCAGATTCAGCGATCTGATAGATATGGTCACTATCCATGATTCTGCGTTTTTAGTTTTCTCGAATGTGCAATATTGTGAATGCAACAGATTTTCGTCCTTTGTGGGGGCGGAAGGAGGTGGGGCGAAATTCTGAAATATAGGTTTTATAGTGAGAAAAATTTGGTTACTCTAGACTTAATTGTCTCTGAGATTTGTGGATACCACAGATTTTTCGCCCTTTGGGAGGGCAGAAGTGGGCGGGGCAAAGTTTTGAAATATTTTTGTAGCAGTGACATATCACAGAAGTCTGGATCCAAAATATCGTTGCTATAACTAGCTGTATATAGGACGGACAGACAGACAGGGCTCAATAGATTCGGATATTGATGCTGATCAAGAATATATATTTATGGGGTCGTACATTCTAGAACATATAAACATCCCTCTACGATTCTGCCTTTTTTGGTTTTATATCTTTAAAACGTGGATGCCACAGATTTTCGTTCTTTGTGGGGCGGAAGTGGGCGGCGCGAAGTTTTGAAATATTTTGCGGCGTTGTGGGGTGGGGTGGGGAGACCTGAAAGAAGGGAGAATCTGTTAGGAACACAACATCGAAGTGGGCCCTGAACTATCACTTGGAGCCGTTCAGAACTGGCTCTGGGAATCATTCAGTACAAATATCGAAAGTACAGGGAACATAAAGTAAATAAAAATTCAAATACAAAACAAAGCCCATGAACGAATATTTCCTCACAGGTGCTGGAATAAGATGAATCCAACTATTAATAATCCACGTTCCCCATTCACCCTTTCGCGGGTATTT